TTGCTTCTCCTATTTTTCAAATATTTTTTTTTTTTTATGTTATAGTGTAAAACATAAGAATTTTTTTTTTTTTAATTTTGTTGAATTATACTTTTAAGTTTTAATTTTTTTTAATAGGAATTATTGAATTTTATTAAATATTTTTCTAAAATTTTAATTTTTAGCTATTTTTTTCCTTATTATTGTTTATTAGGTTGCATTGGGAGAAATCGAAATAGACAATATTAAATAAATAAATAAATAAAATAAATTGACATTTTGACCCCTCTAAGTTTTAGAACTGGTTCCGTCACTGATCATTGGTATAGTGTATTATTAGTTATGTTGTTTTCAGTTTCGATAGTTACAAGTAATTTTACTTCGATTGTTCTGTCTTTTACAGTAAATAAGAGTTAAGAAGCAGTTTCTAGTAAATAGTATAGGGAAATTATGCCATATTTTATTCTTGAAATTTTTGATCTTTGTACATTTGTTGTAGCAAAAATGTTATATTGATTTTGTTATTTTTGAAATGTGTCTATTTGTTTGTTTTTGGCTTGGGTAATATTAGACAATTAAGTTCTACACATAATTTCCACATAAGGACATATATAATTGGCAAAATTGAACTAAATTCGAATTTTGGAACTTATTGAATTTCTACAATTTCCCCTCAACCAAATTTTATGCTCAAAGAAAACACAACAATTTGCTTTTATTTGTTCAATTTCTATACAATTGTAGAATTTCATTTTGTATATTTATGTATACCCAATATCTTAAAATAGTGTCTCATGGTGTATTTTCTTTACTTATTACTGGTATTGGTTAGTGAATTTTGAGGTATGGTCTTTCATGGGATACACTTTTTTTGAAGACTCAAATGCGATGTTTCTTTTTCAATTTTTTTTTCCCCCTCATTCGATAATTATGGAGCAACTATTCATTTATTTTGAAATTTGATTCAACTAGATGCAAATTTTTTATATGCTAAAAATTTCTTTTGACACAGTTTATATGCTAAATTTTCGATAAACAAAAATATAGAAATAGAATAAATTTCACAATTTAGTTGACGACTAAAAAACAATAGTTACGTAACTTTGGCAGGCAGATAGAGGTAGTATTATATATATATATATATATTTTTGCAATTTTTAAAATGATGTTGATGGTATATTCAATTTAAAATATGAGGGTAATAATAAATTGTTCACAAATTTAACTAAATCTCTTTATAATTTGATTTTCTCTCTAAATAGCAGCTTGCACACATTTCACAATTCTTGATTAGAGCAATCAAAACTTCAGAAATATAGACATTATAAAAATTGGTTAGAGAGTTGAATCTAAATTCTGAAGATTGGAAAGCCTACCGTTACAAAAAAGTTGAAGTTTAGCTACAAAAAAATTTGTAGTAAAAGGTAATGATTTCATAGAAAAAAAATCTTTGCAACGGAACTCATTTTGTAGTCTGTACCGCATTAGTAAATGTCTTGACGACAAATATAAATTTTGTAATGAAAAATAAATTTTTCCAATAAAAATTAAGAAAAAAGATATAACTACAAAAATATAATTTCGTAGCTAAACTCTTTTGCTATAAAAATAAAATTTATAACAAAAGAGTTTCAGCAACAAATTATACATAAATTTTATAGCCAGAACATTCACTAAAATTCTGCATTTAAAAAAAAATTCTGCATTTACGTTGAAACGCCATAACTCTTTATAATAGTGAGACGGTCTTTTACATCATCTAACAAAGTCATTCAACAATCCAGAAAACAATTTGAAGATCATGTTGTGAGTGCATGCCAAACACAGAGCGCCGTGGCTACCATAAAACGGTATGCAATTCCATAGGCGCGGCCCTCTGTATTCTGCACTTGAAAGTATTCAATTTTAATTATAATAAAAATAATTATATTTAAATATTAAAATACTTTTTAATTTTTTAAAAACTATTTATTTGATTTACTTTGAAGACAAAAATATTAAAAATGTTTACAAATTTCTATCTATTAATAAAATATTATTATTTTTTAATTTATTATAAAACGAACAAAAATACATCGAGGACGAAAAAATATAATTAATATAATTATTTTAATTATTTTTTTACCATCAACACACATGCTGAAGTTTGAATTTAAAGTTCAGCATGTGATCTATGGCCAAACAAATTTTTAATGTTGTATCATATTTTAATTATAATTCTAAATTTGTTAGTTTTATATTTCTAATAAATAATCAATTAATAAGTTTAATTCAAGTGTACTTTTCAATTTATTTTTTTTTCTTTTCAAATTTTATACCGTTGTAATTTTAAAATTTATATTGAACCACAACAAAATTTTATGAAACCACACACCAAAATTTGTGTACCACATTATTCAATCATTTTTTATTTTTTTCACCAAATCCACAAAATAATACAATGAATCTTCCCACTTTTAGGAAATTAAATTATATATTTATTTTTCACAATTAAAAAAAAAAAAAACACATTGAAAAATTCCTCCAAATTTTTAGGTCTTCTCTTAACTAAATCTCTACCTAAAATTACCAAAAACTCTCCCAATTTCCTCTAACAAAATCAATCCAACCCCAATTCTACATCTTCCCTATTGTCTCTCTATATATAAACATGCAAGAATTCCATTCATTGCCAAAAAAAAAAATTCATTCCAATAATGTTGTCCTCACAAGACATCATTTTTTTCGAATACTTCTTCATCTTTGTCTCGATCGTATTTCCATTAACTATTCACGGATTTGCTCAATCCCCGTCGTCGTATTCTCCCCTAATCGAACAAGTATGTTGCAACACATCTTTGAGTTTTAACTGCAATACGTGCACTCATGTCCTCGGATCAGATCCCCAAATCGCATTTTCCAAAAATATTTACAATCTATCGATCGCGATCATGAAGGCCGGGCAAGCAAACACTACGGGCACCCGGGCTTACATCATTGAAAAGCTCGCGAATCCCAAGATTAATCCCAAGGTTAAGGCTGTCTTTAAAGAATGCAAAACATCGTACGAATTGGCTGTCAGATCTTTCAAATATGCGATTAGTGAGGTTGAAGACGACCATGATCCTCAAACGGCGACTTATGATCTTCTTGTCGGATGCACGGATGACCTTCGCCCGTGCTTGGATGCGATGAACAAGGAGAAGGTTCGAGATAGGCTTCTTTTAAATGGAAATGATGCGTTGCAAATTTATGGATTTTCCGCATATGAAGCTCTTAATCGGTTGTGAAATAAAGTATCATTTTTTTTTTATGTATTCTTTTTCTTCTTTCTCTTTTCTATATACATGTTTATTTTTAATCTCTTTGGTTGTGATTTGAATTTCAAATCTGTATTATTTATTCTGTATTTTTTTTTTATAAAAACAACATGTTAAAGCATAAGGGTAAATTATCATTTTTTAATCTCCTAACTGACCTCTTAGTCTCCTAAGTGGAGCCTCTTACAAACTAGTCCATTACGTCGAAAATTTTCGTTGTTTTAATCCTCCGGCGCCGGAGAGGTCCGCGTGGCTCGCCGGAAACCACGTGTCTGCCAAGTGTCCTGTCAAGTCAGCGACACCCGGCAGACAGATGGATTTTATTTATTTTTTTTTTAATTTTTTTTTTTCAATTTGATCAAATAAAAAAAATTAAAAATAAATTTTTATAAAATTTAAAAAAAATTAAAAAAATAAAATAAAATTCATGTGTGCGCCAAGTGTCGCTGACCTGGCGGACACATGACCTCCGGTGAGCCACACGGGTATCCGGCGCCGAGGACTAAAACAGCGAAATTTTTTCACTTATAGGAGTAGTTTACGACTGGCTTCACTTATGCGACTAAAATGATAAGGGATCCAGTTATGAGACTAAACAATTTACCCTAAATAAAAATTGAAATCAGTATTTTGTTTTAAATCGCAATCAAACAAAATGAAGCGCGATAACATTATTTCTTATTATATTGATCTTATGTTATATATTATTTATATTCCATTGGAAATTTTTGTTTATGAAAATATCCAATGTATATTTTTTAGATTACTGGTTTATAGAGAATATTATTGAAATATTCATAACGTTGATGAAATTTATGAATAAGCAAATACATTGGTAATAGCAATTATTTCTTCTATTTTTTTATTTTCATTCTCGGAGTGTGTGTTTGTGTTTGAAATATTTTGTATTGAATTTTGTAATTAAAAAATAAAATTTTTAAATCTAAGATTTTTACTAAAAATATGTACTGATATAGTATATTTTAAATATTTGACAACAATAGAACCTCTTAAAATATTTTTAGCTCTTTATTAAGCAATTATCCCAATTTTTATCAAAATATATTATTTTTTCGTATAAAATAAAATATGATATTCAAATGATCTTTTATAATCCAATCTATCAATATTTCAGTATAAAAATTAATATTTTTTCGGTATTTTATTTAAGGGTCATATTTAATTTTTACAATTTAATATTAAAAATATTTTTATATTTATATATTTTTTTTTACAAATATCTTTTTATAAGTAACTCTAATGGAAATATTTTGACATTCTTTCTTAATTTATACTAATAATTAATATTCAAAAATTAACAAAAATAAATAAATAAATATAACATTAGAGCCAGAGAGAGAAAGTATTTAATACTAATATTAGTTAAAAAAATAAAAAGGAAGGTAAACAAACATTTATCCAAATATAAAAATGGCTAATTCAAAAAAAAATCAACAAAATCAAATAATACAAAAGACCTCATGGAAGCAAGCTCCAGGGGCTTCACAACCAAACCAATCGTGACCGTCAATTTTCCAACGACTTTAATCCCAACGGCAAAGATTCATCTGGCGTCGGAAACCATGGAACTTTGCCAAACAACAAATCCAGGACCACCTGGCGCAATCCTATTGGCCGCACGGCCGAGCCGACCGACCACCAAGATTTCAATAATGTCTCCCCACAGACAATCTCCATTAAATTACTTAACTCGCACGCCGACGCCGTACACATTAAACCCCCAAACAACAAAAACTCTCCAAAAATCCCCAATCCAATTCTTCGTCAAATTCTCAGCAAAGTTCTTCGAAATCCGATGAATTCGCCTCAAAAAGTTTTTGTAATTTCGTCGATTCTCGTCCTCGCCGTCGCTGTGTCGGAAGGATTTCCCAATTCCGAGGACGATTATTGGTCTGCAAACCCTAGGTTGATCGAATTGCCCCAAATTGAAGGCGAATCGCACTGCGCCGCCTGGATGACGGCGGCGGACAATGCGGGGCGTTGGTGGAGGACGGTTCCGGAGGAGTGCGTGGAGTATGTGCAGGAGTATATGCTGAGTGGGAAGGGGTACGACATGGATGTCGGAAGGGTGTCCGATGATGCCGGAGCGTTTGCGAGAAGTGTGAACCTGACCGGGGATGGGAAGGATGTCTGGATTTTCGACGTCGATGAGACTCTCCTTTCTAATCTTCCGTACTATGCACGCCATGGTTTCGGGTACGTCATTTTTTATTTTTTATTTTCTGGTTATTATTATTACTCTCTCAGTCCCATAAGTACCAACCAGCTTATCATTTTTTATTTTCGTACTAGGTTACTATTTTTTAATTTAGTAATTGTACTGCCTATTTAACATAATAAATATTCTTTCAACTTACAATATATTACACAAATATCATTATTTTTATATTATACAATACTAATAGAAATATTTTTGTCTTTTTATTACAATCAAATATAATAATAATATTAAAAATATTCGTGCAAAAAACAAACGTTACCCTTCCAACGGAACGGGGAGTATTAAAATTAGGGAAAAAATCATAGTCTCAATATAACAAAAATTCATTAATTTTGGTCTCTATATAAAAAATTTATCAATTTTAGTCTTAATATAACAAAAATTCATCATTTTTTATCTCAATATAATCAAACTTTATCTTTTTGGTCCCACCGTCAATAAACCGACGGAGGGAGTATTATGTTACGGTGCTAAATTTTACTTCCTCTGTTCGCCTTTAAGAGTCAAATTTATATTTTATGTCATTGTATTTAACATTAAAAATATTTTTATGTTTATATAAATTTTTTACAAATGTCCTTTTATTAATATTATAAGACACTAATGGAACTATTTTTGTAAAAAATTTTTCTTAATTTGTACTATATTTTGATATAATAATTTATATTCAACGATGAATACGCAAAAAATAAATAGGACCTTAGAGCCGGAAGGACGTAGTATAATTTATTGTGGTGCTGCCAGCATATAGTGCTAGCAGACAACAAGTTATATTACAATGTACGTTCTGTCATCCAAATTTATTTTTATTTTTCTCTTTTAGTTGTTCTTCAAATTTATTGTCGTTTCTCTTTTTTAGTAAAAAAGTACCAATTTTTGTACTTTTTGTTTACTATAAAGGAAAAAAAAAATTATTTTTTTCACTTTTTTAAAAATTTATTTCCGATCAAATTGACATATTTTTACATGACTAAGAGAGTATTAATTAATATAATATAAATAATTAACATTATATAGTTTCACATATCACATTTAACGGACATACTTTTATATAATATGCGAACAAATATAATGTGTTTTTATTAAATCCAACATGTGTTTAAACCCTTCCATTATTATTATTATTCTCTCCTCCCGGCAATTGTAGTCCGTTTTACCCCGTAGAGGATCTAGAATTTTGAATTTGGTGGGTCAATAAATTAATATAATTAAATTAAAATAAATATATCAACAAAAATTTATATTATAAAAATACGAAATTTGAAATTAACAATCACTTATACATCAAAATAGTTATAAGTGTTCACGACGAAATCTTATATTTTGGTATCGGCTGACAATAACATTTATAATAACTTTCGTAAACACATCTCTTTCTAAAAAAAATAATGAAACAATCGTTTAATAATTACTCTTCCATGCTATTCTGTAATTTTTTTTTATGATGGTTATAGTTGAAAATGATTTTTCTACGTTTGCAGTTGCTATTTTTCTTTGTCTCAACAAGTTTGATAGAAAGTTTATTTAAATTCTTCAAATCACATTAAACATCAATAATGAAATTACCTAATAATAATTCGAAAATCATCAATTTTGCTTCGGACAATTCTGTAGAATATAAATTATACAAGTAATTGCAATATTTTTTTATTAAAAGAGGAAAGTCGATTTGAGGGAAAAAAGCAAGATATCAATAATTTTTTTGGTGGGTCGAAACTGATTCATAAAATAAAAATAAAACTAATATTTAAGGATATATTTATAATTTAGTGATAATTAATATTATTTTTAATTTTTTTTGGTGGATCAACTGCATCCGTCTCTGGTTTTAAGTCACACATAGATTAACAAATATGAATTATTTATTAAAAAAAAAAATGTAAGTTATTAGGGTATTTTTAAAAATTCAAACGAGTAAATGATGTATAATAAATATAGAATGGAAATTAGCAGTAATAGTTAAACATTGCTATTTTAAAAATACAAATAAATAATATTAGCAAAACTAATTCTAAAATACAAATAAATAATATTAGCAAAACTATATTACTTATTAGTGAATTTGTTTTGTGAAATAGTTTGAAAGAATATTTTTTTTAAAAGTAAGTTAAAAGAAATTTGTATAAATATAAAAATAATAAATATGTATAATATATTAGTAATTTTTTTTAAAAAAAATAATGTTGGTTTGTTTTCACAAAACAAAAAGACAAAGCATAAATAATGACTTTCGCAAGCATATAGGATATCCTTTGACTCTGAGATAAATAAATAAAAAAATAATAATTGGATATACGTGATTATATTTTTATTTTTATTTTTTACAATTTTCTCTCGATTTATATATATAGTTGAAAATTTTAACATTATTCGTAGTAGTTTTTTTAACAAAAAATTATTGTGTGAAATGCACATTTACATAACTAATATAATAATAAATTGTATATGTTAAAATATTTTAGATATTTAGTTTTAAATTTAATAAATTTATATTTATATTTATATTTGATTTTATTCATATATTAGAGTCGAAAATGAGAGACTCTCCACTGAAATTGAAAACAACAGTATGATAAAGTTGTACTAATATAGTAATTTCTTTTTAAGATTTTTTAAAATATATTTATTATACAATTCTCATTATATACTTTGGTTTTTTTTATTTCAAATTAAAATTTATTATTATGCATTCAATAATTATTTTTTTTAATAAAATATTATATCAACAATATTATATCAACAATATAAAAATAAAATATAAATATAAATAAATTTATTTCTTTAGTGGAATTGTTTGCCCACAAATTCTTTTTCCGACACGATTCCAATATACTTATTTTATCTTTTCACAAAAAGTAACATTCAACATAAAATATGTATTTCTATATTACTTATACGATTTTTTTATACATACATTAAAATAATAATAATAATAATAATAATAATTAGAAGAACAAATCCGCACTTATAGAACTATTTTCAATATTGTCACTACAATTATGACTATATTCTTTTTTACTTTTTTAAAAGTTTGTTTCTAATATTAATTCTCACTATTTCTATGAAAAAAAAATACTCACAGTCCCAATAAAATAGTCTTATTTACCATTTTTATCTGTTTCAAAACAATAGTCTTATTTCCATAAATAATTATATCACCATAAAATTATTCCTACTTTTTCATTATTATTACACAATTGTCACTACTTTTTACACTAATATACTCACAAGGGCAAAAAAATTATTTATTCTTACTTTTTACCAACTACCAATATAATATCAATATTTTTTAAATCTCGTACTCAACACAATAAGATTATACTTTTGGGACGGGGGAGTAAATAACAATTATTTCATGGAAATATTACATCTAATTATATATATATATACTCCCTCCGTCCCATTAAAAGGGTGTCATTTTCCATTTTCGTCCATCCCAAAATAAGGTTACTATTTTCTAATTTAGTAATTATACTACCTACCTAACATAATAAATACCCTTCCAACTTACACTGTATTACACAAATACCATTACTTTTATATTACACAATACTAACAGAGGTATTTTTGTCTTTTTCACTGCAACCCATTATAATACTAATATTCAAAAATTTATGTGTAAAAAGTAAACGACAATCTTGCACCGGGACGGAGGGAGTATATTATTTGACTTATATGGGTTCTTGTTTTAATTTAGATCAGAAAAGTTTGATAGCAAAAAATTCGATGAATGGGTGGAGAGTGGAGCAGCAGCGTCGATAAAAGCAAGTTTGAAACTATACGAGGAAGTCCTAAATTTAGGTTTTGTGGTCATTTTGTTGACGGGCAGAAGTGAAGGCCACCGCAATATTACAGTTGATAATTTATTACAAGCTGGATTTCACCACTGGACTAAGCTCATAATGAGGTAATTTATAATAATAATAGTAATAATTATCCGTCACTTAACAAATTATTTATTTTTTAATTTGGTTCGTCTCATAACAAAGTAGTTACTCCCTCCGTTCTGATGCAAGGTTGTTGTTTACTTTTTGCAAGTAGATTTTTTAATATTAGTATTATAATGGATTGTAGTAAAAAAGACAAAAATACCCCTATTAGTATTGTCTAATATAAAAGTAATGACATTTATGTAATATAGTGTAAGTTGAAAGGGTATTTATTATGTTAGGTAAGTAGTACAGTTACTAAATTAGGAAATAGTAACCTTATTTTGGAACGGACGAAAATGAAAAATGACAACATTTCAATGGGACGGAGGGGGTATTTCTTTTTTTAAATAATTGTACTATTTACTTAACATTACAAATACCCTTATAATTTATAATATATTAGATAAATGTCGTTACATTTACTAATAAGGTTATTTTAACTATTTTTATTTTATTTCTACTATATTTTGATATAATACTAATATACTTTAAACTCCGTGCAAAAAATAAACGGATATCTACTTAAAGGATGAACGGAATAATAATAATACTAATAATTATAATAATAATAATAATAATAATAATCACTACAAGAAAAAATCATTTTTGTAACAAAACTTTTTTGTCTCTAAATCTATTTTTTCCGTTACTAATGACATTAAAGACGGAATTAGGAACAAAATTACGTTACCTACGTGAACTTTAGGGACGGAATTCCGTTACAAATATATTATTTTTTTATAGTGAATAATAATAATTATAATAATAATAATAGGTTGTATTAGTAAAAATATATATACAAAATCCTTACTTTATCAAGATTTTATGCTAGAAAACATTACTCCAACTGATACAATAGTAAATTATAAAATAAAATTTTACTAATTAAGTTAATGCTAAATTGTTACTATAAGCATATTTATTTCCTTTTTATTATTATTATTATTATTATTATTATTGAAATCATAAGTTATTTTAATAAACATGAGTTACTATGTTATATTCGTAAAATCTTTGAAGTTAATCATGCGTAAATTATGCAGATCTACGGAGGATCATGGGAAGACGGCAGTAGAATTCAAATCAATTAAGCGAAATGAGCTTGTCGAAGAGGGATTTCGGATATTGGGAAATTCGGGAGATCAATGGAGTGATTTGTTGGGCTCGGCAATGTCCCAACGATCGTTCAAGCTACCTAATCCTATGTATTATATTCCTTGAGTTACCGATCTTTCTTTTTTTTTTTTTTTTTTCTTTTCATTCATATATATATCGGTAGAAAACTTGTCTTCATCGAGTATCATAAATCAAAATGTGATTATTGACGAATTTCATTGTAATAACTGATTTAGATAAAAGATTTGTACATAATTATGGGTGTTTTTGGTTTTGTGCCTGTCATTCAAAAAACACACATAAATAATAATATTTCAAAATTTGTATGTTTTTTTTATGTTTAAATTAAAAATCTTCTAGATAAAATAGAATTTTATTTTAACTTTTGGGTGTATTCATCCGATTATTTTCATTGATGCGATTCTTTATATTTAATATAAAATTTTATTTATCCAGATTAAAAATTATTTTTTCTTATTGATGATTTAGTGCATTTTTCTATTATGATTTACATATTTATAGAGAAATAAAATAACTAATGATCAAGAATTAAGAGACAGAGACAGCACAGCCCTACAAAGACATATATCCTCTTATGTAAATGTTGCCATTAAATGAAATCAACCACAAAAAATTAAATATATAAATATATTGGCACACAACAAATATTTAGTTTAATTGAGACATGTCAATTATTATCCATTAAAAAATGAGAGGGGGAAAATAAGTCATATGTTCATTTATGTTAGTTCTTTTACTATTTTTTAACTAAAATCAATATTATTTATTTAATATAGTTTTAAAATAAAAAATATATATATACATTATTTTTTCTCATAGAATATTATATTAAAATACTATTTAAACAAACATATTAATCAACATTTTATTTCAAATCAATTCCAAATCACAACCAAACAAAATTGAATTGAAACAATTGATTTATATAATATATTTGATATGAGATTTTGAATATAACTTTTTTTTATTTATATGTAATATATGATATAAATATTTTTAAAGAAACAATAATAAATTACTGTATATAAATACTACTCCCTCCGTCCAAGCTAAAAGTATACAATTACTTTTGGCGCGGAGATTAAGGAATAATAGTATTTTAATTATAGTGGGTAGGTAAAAGTAGTAAAATGACATTTTTGTCCTTACTTTTTTCGTATAAAAGTAATAATGTGATGTAAAGTAAGGGTATTTGTGAAAAAAAAATGGAGTATTTAATGAAATAGTTACTTTGTAATTGGACGTCCCAAAATAAAAATATGTATACTTTCTAAGTGGACGGAGGGAGTATAATATACTTTCCATGTCATAATAATAATAAAAAAAAATACTCAGAGTAGTTAAAATTTTATTATTTTAAATTTTATTATTAAATAATATGTTTAATTGTAATTAGTTGTTAAACATCAGAGCATGAGTGCTGAATATTTTTATTGAGGCTGTACTCTTTTCTTTTTTAATCTGTTATAAATAATAGACATTCTTTTAGCAAAAAATTTTACTAATTTTTACTCTTTTCTTTCCAAATATTCTTCAATATTTTCTTTTTGTTCTATTTCAAACATCAAACAAATATTTTTAAAATAGAAAATAATTTAATATATTTATGGTATGTTTGTTTGAAGAATTTAATTTGACAAATTTACGACTATTCATACAAATTTTTTCTCTCAAAAATATCAAATCAAACACTTATTTTTTATTTTTTATATTATACTAAAAAAAAAATTAAATTCAAAATATCACATCAATACTTATTTAAATCACGTCATAATACTATTTCAATTCAAATTTTTTACTATTCAAATCACGATCCAAAATTCAAACTCCCAAACAAACACACTATTAATTTTTACCTCACATTTTATCTCATCACATCATCAAAATAAATAAATAAATATATACATTTCTTTCTCATTATATCACATAATTATCAAATTATTCTACTTATTACTATTATCCTAAATTACCGTGTCGAAATCAAATATTGTGCAACATTTGCAACGGAGGAAGTACTATTTTCACCATTTTTTAGTTTTCTTACTATAAAAAGACAAAAAGTACACATTATATTAAAATTCGTATCCAAATCAAATAAATTTATTTTTGCAGAATAGAGAATCGTAACTATTTCACCACAAATATATATATATATTTGTATAATTTTTTGTACAAATGTCATTATAATAGCATTATAAGACACTAATAGAAGTGTTTTTGTCCATTTATCTTGATTTCTACTATGTTTAGATATAATAATTAATATTCAAATATTAACACGTAAAAAGTAAATAGGACTCTTAGAGGCGAACTGAGATTATAAAATTCTTAAAATAATAATAAATAAAAAAAAAATTAAACGCTTGGGTGGGGATCATTATTTAGTCACCTAACTACCATGCAATGTAAATAAGGTAAGATATGACTCTATCAAAATTATTAGTTGGCCTTATTAATAATTATTTATAATAAAATAGTATATATTTTTCCACTTTATTATTATTATTATTATTATTATTATTGACGCGCTTATTGTTTATTTTAAATTTTATATATTGAAAGTCAATGATATAAAGTCAACCTAATATAGTTATAAATGTATTGCTCAAAAGCCTTAAAATTTTGTGGCGAGCCTCGTGATATGTTTTATTATTATTATTATTATTATTATTATTATTATTATTTCGACATAATTTTGTCTGATTTTTACAAAATTTAATAATTTTTTAAGCATTTTTGTAGCTGCATGTGCTGTATAAGAGTATTTGGTAAATTTATAAAATAAAATAAAATAAAATAAAATAAATGCTATTTCGTGTGATATGTTAAAAAAAACTCTTTTTGTTCATTTATAATGTATTTATTTATTTTTTATATTATTTTATTTAACATTAAAAATATTTTTATATTTGTATAATATTTTATACAAATATTATTATATTTGTATTATATCATACTAATTAAAATTTATTTTTATTTTTTTTCTTTTGATTTTTATTACCAATGAATATTATATTATATTATTATTCAAAATTTAACACATAAAAATTAAATGGATATTCACTCAATGAACATAGAGAAGATTATAATTATTTTTTTTAAAAAAAAACATAAAAAATGATTTTGAAACGTATTTATACATAATAATTAGTTACTATACAAATATTATATTCAATGTTTAGTTACGTCATAATTAAAGACTAGTTAATTTTTTACTTCCTCCGTCCCCAGATAAATTGTCCACGTTATTGTAGATATGAGAATTTATATAATATATAATCAGTAAATAAGAAGTGTATTACTAAAAATAATTATGATATAATTAAAATAATTAAATAATATAATTAAGATTAAAAAATTACGGATAAAAATAAAAATTATAAACAATTTATTGTATATGAAATTGAAACGGTGTGGTTTGTCCAGGTTAACTGTAGCAGTGATTCCATTATGATCATATTGTCAATTTTAATTGATTTTTGAATTGAGATCAAAATTTAATAAAATTATTTATAATAAAGCTAAAAGGATCATTTTTATATTAGGATCAAAATCAATAATTTTATTTATTTTGAAACTAATATTAATTTTTTTCCAAATATTTATTTGCCAAGAATATGTTTTGAGTAAAAACTTTAAAAGCAAATATTTCACCTAAGATTCTTTTTATATCGCCTTTGTTTAAAAAATACTTTTTACAATTTCTAGAAAACTTTCATTTGAAGTACTTTCATAAAGATACTCAAAACACCACTCCAGGATCCGAACACCAGAGTTAATCGAAACCATTGATTTTCCAGGCCCGAAAACCAACGGTCCAGATTATACCCAAGAGTCGGGATCCCGGGAGTCGGCTAAATCTCTCCAAGAAAAGGTATAACAGAGGCATGGTTCTAAAGCTGTCAAAATTGCAACAATAGAAGCTTTCAAATCAGTCAGAATTCATCCAAAATATTTCTCAAATTTCACTATAAAAATTCAGAAATTGTTCTTGTTAAAATCCTGCTACAAAATTTTAAAAATAAAAATAATAAAAATTCAATCTTGATTGCGAAATATACAAAATCTTCACATAAAAAACACCACATGGATCCACCTGTCAGTGGTTTTCCCCTTCGTCTCCCTCCACCACTCTTGTCTTCTGTAACTCTCTCACTCCTCCCCTCTCTCTCTCACTAAAACATTTGTCTCCACCCCCAACTCCAAACCCACAACTTTTGCAGTCAGTATTTTCCAAAAATATAAAATAAAAAATTCAATTCTTCGTTCCACAAATTTTCCCAACCAGATTTCGTCGGCCCCCTTTCTCCAAACCCCTTTTCGATTTTCCCAAATGCAAAAAAAATGAAGTTCAAATTTCATCACAACACACTGATCATCATCATCATCGCCGTTATTACAGCCCTATTTCTAACAATCCTCATCGTCTCAACCTATTGTTGTCTGAGAAGAAGGAGAAGAAAGGGGGGAGAAGAATCGGGTCGGAAAGATCTAGAACGTTCGAGAGATTCCAAAATCGGTGAAGGGTTAGAGAAGAATCGTTCTTCAGGGGAATATTTCATGAGGTTTGAGGGAGGTGAGAATCTCAGCGTGGAGGAAATCTTGGATGCTCCTGGCGAGGTTATCGGGAAATCCTCGTACGGAACCTTGTACAGAGCGTATTTATTGCATTCGAACTGGTTTGCATTGCTGAGGTTCTTGAGGCCGACTTGCAGTGTGAGTGGGGAAGACGATGTTCTAAGAGAGGTCGAGGTTTTGGGGGGTGTTAGGCACCCCAATTTGGTGCCTTTGTGTGCTTTTTATGGGGGGGCGAGGGGGGAGAAGCTCATGGTTCATCCCTTTTATAGGGGTGGGAATTTGGCTGATTTCATACGAGGTTGAGAATCGAATCTTGATCTTAATCTTAATCTGAATCTGAAATCTTTTGTTGGTTTGATGATCTTATTGCATCCTTGTTGTTTGTGGTGTTTGATGTTTTTGTGTGTAATGAGATGATAATGATGATGATGATGATGATTATAGGCTTGATTTGTTAGATTGATTTGGGGGATCTTGGATTGGCTTGATTTGGTGTTCTTTGAATTCGAATTCGAATGTGATTGAATTGTTATATATATATATATATATGTATGTATGTATATATATTGTGTATGTGAATGTGATTGAGTTATAGAATGTTAGTTAGATCATATCGAAGCTTGAATCGAAATGGCCGTTGTTGTTATGATCATTTGTCGTATTCGATTTATCGACAAACCTTGTTGGTGAAAGGTGAGAGTTTTGGGAAGAGTAAATTTTTTTTTTTGACTAAAATAGTTACTTGATTTGATGTAATTTAGTATTGGATGCGATATTTTGTATAGAAAATATGTTTATGATATTCGATGTTACATATTTTAGAGAGAAATTTGCGCGCCAAAAAATTGAGTCACAAAATGTAAATAGAGCCTTAGAATTTTGAGATTTGGTTGTTGTGCTTTCGATCCTTCTACGTGTAGTTTTTGTCGCGCTTTTGTTTCCATATCTTGATTATTATTGCATTTATGTTTCGGTTTCTTGTTTCTATTCGTCGCTTTGGTGTGATAAATCCAATTTTTGACTCGAGTTTTGATTTTAATTTTTTTTGGTTTTTTCCGGTCAGATGGGAATGTCGATGCACACAAATGGCCGGTAATCCGAGCGATCGCACTCGGAATAGCTCGAGGAATTTACCATCTCCACACGGCATTCGAGAATCCCGTCATCCACGGGAACCTCAAGTCGAAAAACGTGTTCTTGGACGCTAACCACAACCCGTACGTCTCGGATTTCGGATTACATCTTCTCCTGACTCCGTCGGCGGGGCAAGAAATGCTCGACGCATCAATGTCGAACGGATACAAACCGCCGGAGCTGATCAAAATGAAGGATGCGAGCGAGGAGAGCGACGTCTATAGCTTCGGCGTGATCCTTCTCGAACTTCTGACGGGGAAAGAACCGATCGACAAGAACCCGCCTCGGGGCCACGAATCTCATCTTCTCGATGAGGCGAGCACCGCGATTCTCGACGATCGCGTCGACCCCCTGTTCCATCCCGGAATTTTTTCGGGACTAACCGACGACGAGCGAGCGGTCGTTCGGGATCGCGTCTTTAAATTTTTCCAGCTGGCAATGGCTTGTTGCGCCGCGACTCGTCTCCTACGGCCTCATATGAAGCAAGTCGTCGACCGGCTCGAAGAGATCGGGGCGTGAGTAAAAAAATCCCTCAAAAAAAAAAACGAGAAAAATTCGCGATGCGAATGTAAAGCTTCGTGTTTTTTTTTTCGATCAATGTGGTTGAAAGTGACTCGGGGGTTGACTTTTATAGCGCGTGGACTTAGCCAAGGTCAACTCCATCGAAAAAATGTAGATCGATTGCGATTGAGTAGTTCTCTTTGAGAAATTTTCAACCATCCTGGAAAAAAGGGAGGTTTTAGATCTTTCGAGAAATTGATGTGTTGTCGAGCGACCCCATTAGTTGGGGGGGGCTCTCGACTTGCCTTCTGGGAGGCCCCCATTAGTTGGGGGGGTCTCGATTTGCCTTCCGGGAGGCCCCCAATTGTTGGGGGGGTCTCGACTTGCCCCCCGGGAGGCCTGGGGGTCATCAAGGAGCGTACCGGGGCTATCGACTTGGCGCCGGCCGGCCGGAGACATCTTGTATGGTGAGAGTTTTAAGGTTATTACTACCTAAGTGGTGATTATATTGATCGGAGAAAATTGTAAGAATTGCATAGTCGCATTGGTAAGTGAAAAATTGTAAGAATTGACGGAGATATGAAATTCATGCATTTTATTATGTAACTTTTGAGTTATTGAATGCTGATTTTGGACCAATTGCTCACACCTCCTTTTTGCCTCAAAACATTATGTCGACTTCTCCGTGGGTTTTAACAAAGGTTTTTATTTTTTATTGTTCTGATTTTCTTTTCCCTTCAAAAATATTAAATCAAACTACTAATTTTTTTTAAAAAATATTATATTACAAATTTATTTTACATTTAAAATATCACGTTAAACAACTATTCAAATTTAATTTTTTATTATTCATAAATCCAAATCCAAACCCACAAACAAACACACCCTAATTAACCTCTAAAACAACTATACACTAACAAACTAACTAAATGGGTATCAATTGGGTTTAGGGTAAGGGTTTGTATTTGAGTTAAAAGGGTTGGGCCGATTTGGGTATCAATTGGGCTTAGGGTGAGGGTTTGGATTTGAGTTAAAAGGATTGGGCCGATTTAATAGACCAGACTAAAATGAGCCCAACTCTCTATTATTGTTATGAAAAAATTGACCATACAACTATGCCAACAAGGTAAATGACATTTAGAGCATGTGCAATGATGATTAAAAAAAATAAAAAAAATAAATAATAAAAAGTTTCACAATGGTATGTTTTGACAGAGTTTGAACCAAAATCGATAACTTTACAATCACAAGTCAACCATATACCAACTCCGAGATATCTCACGGGGCTATTCACTTTTATTTTTAACTCTATCAGCAATAGGCTTGGTCACATGGTTTGATTATTCGTTTTTTTATTTAATAAAAGATGAAAACGAAATAAAACTTTTTATGTTATAACTTTTATTTACATTTGTCAGTTTCAATTCAAAATATGTCAATTTCAATTTGAACCTTCAATTTATATTTATTTTTTTATTTTTAAAATTATTATTTTTTTATATAATTTCAATTTGATGGCTAAATTTGGTCCCAAGACACACATTTAGGGGTGTATTCAATTGAAATTTTAATGGATTTTTTTGAATTTAGAAAATCTTACACCGTGTTTGATGGATTTTAGTAATTGATTTAGAAGTATTTCTACATATTTGATTGAATTCGTTATGGATTTATATGGATTTTGTAGGATTCTAAAATAATTTTTTATAAATATATATTTATTATATAAATTTATATCCAACGCAAATTTTATAAATATAATATATAATTATTATAAAATAAAATTTAATATTAATAAATAATATAATTATTATAAAATAAAATTTAATATTAATAAATAATATAATTATTAATAATATAGAAATATTGTAACATTTGTAACACTATTATATTGTAAATTATTAATTTTAATTTTATAATTTTAGTATTATATCGTCAAACTAGTTTATATTTATTTATTAGTTATTATTATTATTACGTATATAATTTTTTTACATAAAAAATAAATAGGTATATAAATAAAATAAAAAATATATTTTACAATTTTTGAAAAAATATTAAAATAAATAAATAAATATTAATGGTTCAATAAAAAAATATATATTTAAATATCTATTTCACCGTCATCGAAATGATAATATAGTGTATTCGATAATTGAAAAAAGAGAATTACACTGAAATGACAATATATTATATTCGATAATTAAAAAGAAAACACGACGGTAATACATATTCCCTCTGTCCCAAACACCCTGCAACGTTTCATTTTTTGTTTATCCCAAACTCACTGCAACATTTCCAAATTTAGAAATAATTAATAATATTTATATATATATATATTAATATACACCTCACTTTATCTCATCGCATCACTCAAATAAAAAAAATAAATAATCATTTCTCTCTCAAATCACGTCACTTAATGTTCAAATTATTTCAAATTACCATACTTAATACTTCCCGCCTAAATTCCTGTGCCAAACACAAATATTGCACGGTGTTTGGGACGGAGGGAGTATTTATTATGATAATAATATTTTTTAAAATTATATTTATAATATAAAAAATATATATTTAAAAAAATTTCATAATAATTTGCTAATATATTTTAATTTTAAATTATTATTCTTCGATTGAATACACCAAATTTTGAAAGTTTAATAAAATCCTACATAGTCTACATTGAATACACTAGTTAAACAATTATAGTATATAATAATAATTTAAAATTTATAAAAATAAGTAAGTATTTAACTGACAATACATTTAGATTTATTTAAGGGGGTGTATTCAATATAGATTTTATAGAATTTTGTTGAACTTTCAAAATATGAGTGTGACTTTTAAATTTTTTTTTAAAATCTAGAGGTATTTATTCAAGACTTTTAAAAGTCTTTTAAAATCCCGAGGTATTCAAACGTAGACTTTTAAAAGTCTTTTAAAATCTTGAGATATTCAACAATCTATGGATTTTAATGGATTTTTGTGAAAATTTTGTATAGATAAGAATCTCTTTTGACCATCCCAAATTTTGATGGATTCTTAAAATTATTATTATTATTATTATTGTTGTTGTTGTTGTATATGTGATCAATAATACGATAATATTTATTACTATTATTATAATTTTTAATAAAAATAATAATTTAAAACTAAAATATATTAGCAAATTATTATGAATTTTTTTTAAAATATATATTTGTATATTATACATATAATTTTAAAAAATATTATTATTACAATAAATATGTATTACTGTCGTCTTTTCTGTTCAATTATCGAATATATTATATTATCGTAACGATAACGGTGAAATAGATATTTAAATATATATTTTTTGTTGAACCGTTAATTTATATTTATTTATTTTTTTAAAAAAATCGTAAACTATTTATTTATTTATTTTAATATAATATTTTTACATAAAAAAGTAAATACGTATATATTATTTATTAATATTAAATATTATCTTATTAATAATTATTTATTATATTTATAAAATTTGTTGTTTGATATAAATTTATATAATTAATATATATTCACAAAAAAATTATTTTACAATCCTACCAAATCCATATAAATCCATAAAGAATTGAATCAAATCCGTAGAAATTCATCTAAATCAATTACTAAAATCCATCAAATTCAACGTAAACTCTGTGGATTTTCTAAATCCACATAAATCCATGTACTTTTTAAAATCCAAAAAAATTAATTAAAACCTCAATTGAATACACCCCCCAAAAATTATAATTTAATTATTCAGCTATATAAAATAAATTAATTAATTATAATTTACATTATTATTTTGTTTCTATGAATTTGTTTATTATTTCATATATATAAAAAAAAAAATCAAAATCAAAATAAATACTTCATCATTCCACACCGGTTGATAAAAATAAAATTAATTTTGTGAAAAATATTATTTTAAATAAAAAGAAAACACTCAAATCATAATCTCACATTCAAATAAAAACAAATTATTTATTCTTTTGTAAGTTTAAAGTAAAACTCATATCAATTTCTATAATTTATTGCTATCATTTTAAAAGATCAAAGTGATGATTCATTCTTCCAGCCATGTCTGCACCAGTGGTCGACACTTGACAGGTTGTTATGAACATTGTCGAAAATTATTTCTCTTTGCAATATTATTGCATTGGTGGTATCTATGTCTTAGGGTTTAGGATTTAGGTCTATACATGGATGTCTACGATGCTGAGAGTGGGGTAGAGAGGGGATGACGCTGAGGATTCGTTCGCATGTCTTAGATATATTTTGGGGGTAATGTCGATTTTCCTCATTGGTTGGATATTTTCTTCATCATTATGGAAATGATTCATGTTGATATCAAAGTTGTATGCATATTTGAGTTTTGGTTGATGCTGTTCACAGGTGGTCCGATCAACGTATGTATTTTGGTGAAACAAGTGATCCATTTGTTTCGGTCCAAGTTAATCAATCCGGCGTTTCTCAGAAAGGAATATCGATTTTAGAGGATTTGATTGAGTTGAATTAGTAGATTTTAGGGGATTCGATTGAGAAAATATCGTAGAGTCAATATATAGATTTATTTAGAATGATTTTATATACTACCACCGTTCGACTCTAAGGGTCTCATTTATTTTTTGCATGTTGATATTTGACTATTAATTATTATATTAAAACGTAGTACAAATTAAGAAAAAATTACAAAATGCTTCAATTAGTGTCTTATACTACTAATAGAATGACATTTGTAAAAAAAAAATAAATTATATAAATATAAGATTTTTTTTTTTTTTTAAATTTTTGATATTCTTACCTTTTATGTCAATTATATTGGTGATGTGAAGACTCTGATTATGAGGATATATAACTGCAAGAAGAATTAATTGGATATCAATTTTGAGTGTAATTTATGTCTATATTTTGAAGTATTGAATTGAATATTTACTAATATTAAATCAAATGTTAATATTTTATATTTATATTTGAATCATATTTGGATCAATATCGAATTCGAATTATAAACTTTTAAATATGAATACCAAAATTTTGAATTAAATATCAAATCAAATAAAATGATTTAATTTATTTGCGGCCATACTATACTAAGTACTATTGTTGAATAAAAACGAACTAATTAGTTTTATATTAAAAAAAATAAAAAATAAAATTGTTTGGATATATGTTTGAGATATGGATTTGGAATTGGAAATATTAAAATTTTTAAATCGGAAAAATGGGTTGAGTCCGTCGGGTGGCCCGCCCCGTCTCATTTTTTAAGAGGGTTGAGTTGTGATTTTGTAAGCCCGTTAAAATGCGGATCTAAACGGGCCAACCCATGTAGGCCGTGGGTTGAGAGTGGGTTAGCCCGCATGCCAGTAAATATAATAATTAGTACTCACTCATATCAACTAAATGTATTTTTTTATTATTTTTTACTGTCACATTAAAAAATTATACTCACTTCGTCTCGTATTAGTATTATATTTGATTGTAGTAAAAAGACAGAATTACCCCTATTAGTATGGTGTAATATAAAAGTAATGACATTTATGTAAGAAAGAGTATTTATTATGTGAAGTAGGTAGTACAATTACTAAATTAGGAAATTATAACCTTGCTTTGGGATGGACGAAAATAAAAAAT